CCCTGTGTCCCCCATGCCCTGTGCCCTGTCCCCCACGTCCTGCGTCCCATGTCCCCTTGTCCCACGTCCCCTCTCCAGGTGGCCCTGCCCACCGCAGCACAGACCCACGCACTTCCCAAGTGTCCCCGCCACTGCCAGGACATGTCACAGGGACAAGAGTGACACACCAGATCTGGGACCACTGAGCCACCACCCTGGGGACATCACCCACCCTAGGGACATCGGCGCTGGGAGCAGAGCTGGGTTGGGGCGGGGGACACCAGACCACGGCAGCGGGGTATAAATATTGGCTAAATAGATTTATTTTCATACAAAGAATACACAGATCCCCCCGCCGGGACGCCCCGATCCTGGGGGACACCCCGAGATGTCCCCAGCCACCGTCCCATTGGGCACCACCTCCATGGGCTTTACCAGCAGGATCCGTCCCCATTCCCAGGGTTTGGTGCTAAGGCTGGCGTCACCTTGGGGACATCCCTGTCCCCTCTGGGGCCACCTTGGTGCCTGTGTCTGCCCGGTGCCTGCTCGGTGCACCCTGTCACCGGCCACCCTGGCCCCATGGGGCACCCCCAGACTTGGTCCCCCGTTCCCTCGTGCCCATGCTGAGGGCATCTCCGGACATTTTGGGGTTCCCCCTGTGCCCTAATACTGTGGCTGGTACAGACACCCCCCACCCCCCGCTCCCGTGCCGTATGTACATGCTGGATAAAAGAAGAAAATACAGATATTTATAGCGGGGGGGCAAAATGTCCCCCCTACCCCCCCCCCAAAGTGTCCCCTGCGTCCCCATCCTGGTGCCTTGCTGCCAGCCGGTCCTGTCCCCAGGATGGAGGTGGCCGGTCCTGCCCCATCCTGTGCTGGCTGGGCACCCATGCCTCAGTTTCCCCATCGGTTACAGGGCTCATCACCCCCCTCCCTGCCATGGGGTGGTGGGACACGGAGGATGCAGGGTGAAGAGGAGCTGCAGTGGCCACCCTGCGGGGACAGGGACATGGCCACGAGCTCCAGGGGACATGGGACGAAGCCAGAGGCACCCGGGCTTTACACCAGAGCATCCCGCCTCCCGCCTCGCCCCGATAGAGAAACATCACAGGCAGAACTACCCGAAGTACCCTTTCGTCCCCAAATTTCTCACGTTGCTGTCACCCAGCCCGGGGCGTGGGGGGGGGTGTCCAGATCCAGCCACCCCACCTCCCTTTGCGGCGGGAGAGGAGGTGGCAGGGGAGGTCCGCAGCGGGTCGGCAGGCTCGTGTCCATCCAGCTCAGCTGCGTTTGGTGACCATCTGCCGGTCCCTCTTCTTCTTCTCCATCAACCTGGTGGGGAGCAGGGTGGTGGCCTTAAGGACCCTCCCAAGGGGGACCTCCCAAAGTCACGGGGAGGGGACACACTCACTTGCGGTTGCGGACTTCGGTGAGCTCCATGAGCCGCTCCTGGGCTGCCCGTAGCTCGTCGAGGCGTTGCTGGTAGCGGGAGTCGCAGCCGTTGGTGCGCTCGTAGCTGGAGACCTGGCTGGAGAGCTCGCTGGCGCGGTCCCGTAGTTGCTGGATGGATGAGTAGAGGTTCTCCTCGTCTTCCTCCTGCTCCGACAAAAGGGTATGATGGTGGTGGGGTGGACAGGACACCCCAGGGTGCTGTTCGCCCTTGCTCTGGCTGGGGAAACTGAGGCACGGGGTTCCCCAAGCCACCTGGGCCACCTGCCTTGGCGTTGATGATCTCGATGTGGATGAGGAGGGAGGCGAGCTCCAGGTCCTCGGTGTAGCTGTTCTTCAATGGCACCGACCGGTAGCCTGGACACAACACCATGACATGAGCTCAGACCCATGGCCAGATCCTCGAGGAGATGATGATGATGATGGTGGTGCTAATGATTGCAGGGGGGTTGCAGGGGACTAGATGACTTTTAAACATCTCTTCCAACCTAAACCATTCTATGATTTGATGATGATGATGATGATGATGATGATGATGGTGGTGCGGATGGAAGGACCGTACCTGTTTTGAGGCCCTTAACGGGGAAGGTGGCTTGTGCCAAGAAGTTGGGGTCGCTGAACATGTCCTCCTCGTACACCACAAAGCGGAGGAAGGCAAACTCAGGGTTGTTGATGTCGAAGACGAACTGCTTGAAGAGCCAGACAGGGTTGAAGCCGTTGTCAGCTATGGGGCAAGGAGAGAGTGGGGAGGGTCAGAGCGGGGCTAGACGCATGGACATCAAGGGCATGGCACCAGCATGCTGGTGGGAGATGCCTGTCCTCTTCACAAAACCCAGCCCCATCACCCACAAGTCCAAGAGAACCCCAAAGGGCACGGTTAGGGTTGTCCCGGTGTCTCCACCTGTCCCTGGGGCTGGGTGGGAATGTCACCCATGTGGACCCTCACCTACGACGTCTGTCTTGTTCTTGCTGTTGTCATACTCGGAGCCGCACACCTCCACCTCCACGAAGGGGCACACAATGCTCCTCCCGTTCTTGGGCAGGTGCCGGGCCCCAAGGATCTGTGGGAGAAAGAGGAGGAAGAGGAGGGTAAGGTTTGGCCATGCTCAGCAAGGAGGGACTCCTCAAGCCAGCCCCATGGCTCAGTTGGTTTGGGCTTGCCAAAAGCTTCATGGCTATAATTAGCCACACCACAACTTCTTTATGATTTTTGACTGGTTTTAGCTTGATTTTAGCTGTATCCATGAAATTATTTAAAAAACTTTTGCTGGATTCATGCCGTGCTCAAGAGTCAGGTGCCTATGAACCAACCTGTCCGTGCTCTAACACCGAAATTACCCAAGGGTTGAGTAAGGTGCTTCTGGGCTTGTTTTATCTACTTTACCCTCCACCTTGCTCTCACTCAAGTTAGACTCAGCTCTGTGCAACTGTGGGGTTGTCCCCCCAGAAAAATGATGCTGCATGCAGAGAAAGACCAACAAACCCAAGAGATCATGGGGTAACAAACTCCATGGAGCAAATATGTGTCTGAAACATGTAAAAACCACTCCCAGGTGACCCAAAAACAAGGCAGAAGCAAGTCCCCATCTTGGTGGTGACCACCTCAAGGTGGACTTGCTGTCCTTGCCCACTTGCCTGCAGCTGGACCGTAATGGGCTCCACGATCTTCAGGCTGTTCTTGTCGAAGGGGTCAAAAGTCTCATCCCTCATGATGTCAGGCTGCAGGACGTAGCCGCTGCGGCCACCGAGCATGAAGAGCGCCTGGTTCAGCTGCATTGGCTTGTCTGTGGCCGTGGGAATGGAGCAGCTCTGAGCCATGGGGCTCAGAGACCTCCCCGAGGTCCTCGGGCAGAAGGTCGTGCCCTGGCAAACCCCCTGCTAAGAGCCCTGAACCCTGTTTGCAGAAGTGATGCAGCTGGGTTTTGCATGAAGCACCCAAGAATTGCATGGACATGTCCCCATCAGGATGAGGACAAAGGTTGGAGAGATCACCCAAACCACCTCCAGCAACAGGGGCCAGGGCAGAGCCACTGGGGATGGGGATTTTGGGGTGACCTGTGGGGATGAGCCCAGCAACCACCCCAGGATTTACCAGGCGTCTGGAAGTTGAGGGCCACGAGCTGGCTACCACAGATCCACATGGGCAACGGGTCGTAGTTGGAGGAGTCCAGGCGTTGCCCTTTGGGGTAGATGCGGCTGAGCTGGCGCCGGTTGTACTGCAGGAACTTCTTGCCCTTGCTGCGGTTGGCATACTTCTCCGCCTTGGTCTCCGGGAAGGAGGACATGTCCCGGTAGCATGCCTTGTCTGTGCCAATCTCTGAAAGCACCAAGGTGACCATCAGTGGAGGACATGGGGCTCTCTGGTGGCCTGGGAGCGGCCCACTGTGACTGCTTGGTTCCTCCCCAACCCATCTCTTGCCATGCTCATCCCATCAACCCCCTTCTCCAGCTCTTACTGTCCTCATCAAACGGCACTGGGCGGCAATACACAACCAGCTCGGAGAGCTCCAGCGCAATCTTCTTCCTCCGCTCCATGATCTTCCCCTCTTGCATCTGCACAAGGGAAAACAGGAGCTGAAAGTCTCCCTCCAGCCTCCTCCTTCGGAGACTTTGGGGACCATCTGCTGGGGGACGGGACCGTCCACCCCCATCCTCTGTACCCCGGTGCCCCTCACCCTGGCGTCAGCGTTCTGCGTGGCCTCTCGGATCTTGGCCACCCACTCGCTGAGTTCCTCCTGCGTGTCCGCGGCCACATCCAGCGACTGGGCTGCGTGGGACATCTGCTGGGAATGGATGGTGAAGACAAATGGTTTGGAGCTCCTCCCGTCTTTGGAGATAACTATAAGGACATCAGAGGGGGGCTTTACTCGAAGACATTCCCAAAGGATGGCTCTGTGGAGCAAACGAAACCTCAGCAGTCCCGCTCCCGGGCCCCCACCAGCCCCTCCTGGCACCCCACCAGTCATCGGGGTCCTCCTCCTTCGAGGATCCCTTTTTTCTAATGTATGGTTTCAGCTTTCCACACTGAAATGCATTGTCCTTTGAGCCAGGGGTAAATGTCCCCTGAATCATTTGGACCTCTGAATTCCTCCAAATTCCCCCCAAATCAGCCAAATCCCTCCGAACCCAGCCCCATGTTGCTCCCCCGCACATTGTGCTAAGCACAAGCCTGGCTGGCAGTTGCGTGATGAGTTTGGGGAGCCTCAGCTCACAGCACTGAGCTTCAGCATGGGGTGCACGCCATCCCGGCGGGCTCCCACAGCCACCACGGGGACGTGGTGGGGACACTCACCAACATGGCAGGATGGCACATCGATGAAGCCCTTCAAGAAGTTCCCCAGGGGGCTGTTTTCCGATGACTGCAAGAGAGGAAGGGAGAGGGGGCGGTGGGGGAGGCATGCGGGGCCGAGCCTGGTGCCCGCTCCATTTGGCAGCCTCCCTCCAGCCCTCTGAATCGGCCAAGTCTGAGCAAAAGCAGAGAAAAAAACCACCCTCTTGGCATGCTCTGCTCCGCAGTTGAGCATCCCCCAGCCTCTGGATAAGGGTTTGGGCTGGCATGGTGCTGGGAGCATCCTCCAGCTTCCAGAAAAGGGTCCAAGCTGGAGTGGGACCAGGAGCATCCTCCAGCCTCTGGATAAGGGTCTGGGCTGGAATGGGGCTGGAGGCATCTCAGGTGGCCTTGGTCCCGGGAGCGTGGGGACATGGCACTCACAGCCTCATCCTGCTCCTGCGCTTGCGTGCTGACAATCTCCTCCACGTAGTTGGCTGGGAACCACAGTTGCTTCTTGCCCCCGTAGTCCCCCCGCCACCTGCAAGGGGTGAGAGGATCAAGGCAAGCGGACTGATTTGGGATGGGAAAGGGGTGTTCATGCTGCATGCAATGTAGGGGAGTAGTCGGAGAAGGGGTGGGGGGACAGAAAAGGAGGCAATTAAAACCCACCGCGGGACGACCCGCGGGAAAACCCAGGGTGTCCCCTCCACCTCCCACCCACGGCAATGTCCACCTGGGGCCACCCAACCGCCCTCACCAGCCGCCGTCCTGCTTGTCGACGTTGTGGATGATGGCCTGCTTGCAGAACGACAGCTCGTCCTCCCGCTGTGCTTTGTAGTCGTAGAGAGCCTTCACCGTGCACTGGACCACAGGGTAGAGGGACACGTGTCACCAGCCAGCACCCGGGGACGCTGGTGGACAGCATGCCCCACTCAACCCAGCTCCTCAAGCCCCCATGGTGGAGCATGGGGGCTCCTGAAGGTCCAACATCCCAAATGATGCCCCCAAATTGCTCACACCAGCAGTGAGACGTGTTAGAGGGGACAAGAGGGCTGGAGGTGCCTGTGGTCCTGTAGGACCACCCCGTTCAGCACAAAGCGGGTTCCTCTTCTGGGTCCCCCAATGGTTTCTCCTGGTGCACTGAAGGGGTTAGTCCCCTGATATTACCACACTTCCTGGAAAAAAACCCTTTGGGCTAAGCTTTCCCATGTTTGGTCTTAGCCTGAGAGCTGCTCTGCTGCAAAGGGACCTTTAAGGCAGAGCAGTGCTGGACCATGGGATTGTAGGATCACAGGGAAGGAACCTTGGAGCTCCAGTCCAGCCTCCTCCAGGGTCAGTTCCAAGACCAGACCAGTCCCAAAAACCTCAAAGGATGGAGATTGGGTCAGCTCTGAGACCAGCCTGTCCCAAAAACATCTGAGGATAGAGGCCGCACAACCTGGGAACTGACCCTAAACCTGCTTTTTTGGGGTTCCCCAGTGCAAAGGGATCCATGGGGGTTTCCTTGCTTTTGGGGCAAACTTGTGTCAGGTCATTGCTCCAGGCTGGACTCTCTCCAGACCTGTCCATCCCCCCCATGCTGTGACAATGCTGTCACTGGAGCTCAGACTGTCCCCAAGTGATGGTGATGTGGGAAGGGTCCAGCTCCAGCATCATTTGGGGGTCAGAAAACCACAGCAAAACGTCTCCACTTCTCAGGTCAGTGGTGGGAGATGTGGCGGGTCTGAGGGTGGAACCACCCAGGAGCCCCAGCACTCAAATTGTCATGTCCCACCGCCCTCCACCTCCCAGGAACACCAGCTCAGCCCCTTACCCTGGCCATTGGCATCTTGTTGGCCTCTACGTAGAAGTGGGGGGTCCGCACCTCGTACAGAGCTCCATAGTCCAGCTCCTGCAAGGAGAAATGCCAGAGTGGGTCACCTGGATGTGGGCAGGGGCTACAAGGGGATGTGGTGGGACCTGGACTACCACATGTGATCGAGAGGAGGTTGAGAGGGACCTAGATCCCTTTGCAACTTGTTGGAAGGGAATTACAGTGCAGCTATAACCGTGGGCAATGGCTGCAGAATGAGCTTGGCCAGCTCTGGCTGGGTTTCAACCATGAGGCTGGAGGAGACCTTCCCACCATGGTGGAGCTGGGGATGGAGTTTGGTTGCCCATGGCACTGGGTCCCCGTCCCCACCATCCCCACCACTGGGAGCACTCACGGTGGTGCCCATCTTCTCCAGGGTCTCCTCGTTGATGGGGTAACGCAGCTTCATCTTGCGGTAGAGTGGGTGCTTCTCATAGTAGCTGATGAGGTCCACGAGGCTCTCAAACTCGGCCGAGCTGCCCAGCATGAAAAGCCGACCTTCCTGCTGGATGCGGCAGTGCTTGATCTTCCCCTCTGCCCTGGGGCCAAGAGAGCCAGGGGGGATATGTGAGGGCTGGCCGGACCTTGGCTCCATGAAGGGGATGGGCAGGAGGTGATGCCCTGCCCCAGCAGGGATGCCACCGGGGTGACCGCCCTGAGGATGTGGCTTTCCCATCACTGGACAGCATTGTGCATTCCACCATGTCACCCTGCTGACTCATTGCAAACCCCTGCCACCCAGGATGGGGTCACAACAGACACGAGCCAGGCAGTTCTCAGCTTGGCTGGCAATGTGGGCACCGTGGCCGAGCCCAGCCGGCCTCCGGGAACCGGGATGTCCACACTCACCGGAAGGAGATGGCGTAGGAGCTGGGTTCACTGCGCTTGCGCACTAGGAAGGCTCCGTCCCGCGGGACCCGCATCAGCATGTGCTCGGCCTGCAGGCGCGTCAAGCTGGCGTGGTACCACCTGGCCGGGCAGAGCATGGAGGTGGTAGGCTGGCACCGGCATCTCCACACCCCGGGGGGCACCCAAGACCCGACACCGGGGATGGAGGAGGCTGGTGGACCCAAGGGACCGAGGGGATGGGGACCATCCTCACTCTTTGCTCTCGTGGGCATTGGGTTGGGGGACGGGGTCGGTGAGACGCATCTCGAACTCGTTGCAGCGGAGCGGCACCTCGCGGTAGTGGCAGATGAGGCTGTAGAGGCTGTCGAAGACCAGGTTGTCTGTCAGGTAGAACTTGGTGGCACCAGCCTCCTGCCTTGAGTGGATCCGGCAGTGCTGCACCCGGCTGGACCTCCTGCCATGGTGGTGGGGGAAAGGCAGGGGTGAGTCAATTCAGGTCCACGACCCCACTGTCCCATGCTTGGGGGGTCTGCATACTGCACAAAAATGTGGCGTTTCCCACCCAAAAAAGCCATTCCCGCCACCAGCCCAGGGATCAGCTGGAGGGTCAATCCCTGGTGGGATGCCCAGACCGGCTCAGGAAGGGTGGGATCCTGTCTCCCCGCTGGGGCTCCTACCAGAAGGAGAGGGTGTAGTCACCCACGAAGGTCTCGCTTTCGCGCACCAGGAAGGTGCCGTCTTTGCCGCCCGTCTCAGTGCAGTACTCATGCAGCAGCTTCTCGGCAATCTGTCGCCCATCGCGGCCACCTCCCAGCTTCCCGTGGAACCACTTCTCCGTGAAGTGCAGCTCGTTGTTGTTGAACTCCTGCAAGTTCACCCCAAAATGGTCATTGCCACTCTCTTGCCTTCCCCACAAAGTCCTCCCTAAATCCCCCTGCTCCCTGGATGCATCCTGACCCTCACACACCTCCTTCTGCTCCACCTCCTCTTCATCCTCATTGAACTGGTAGCGGGATGTCTCCTCTGAGTAGTAGATCTTGTTGCTCGTCAGGACAAAATAATGGGGGCTCCAGGTCTGGGAGGGAGGAAGAGCATCAGTGGTGTGGGGAGGATGATGGCATGGATGGACAGGGCTTTGGGATGCCTGTTTCTGCCCCCTCCCGCCCCCCACAGCATTGCAATGGTCTAGTGAGCCCATGCCCCATGCTCAACCCAAACTCAATGCTCATCCCCATCTGACAGGCCCTGCTCGGCACCTGGCTGCCATCGGCAGGGAGACCCTTACGTGGTCAATGGGGTCTTCAAGGTAGAGGATGCCGTTCTTGATGGAGTTGCTGATGTCATTCTCCGAGTAACTGGCGGTGGAGACCTCCTCATACAGGTTCCCTTCGACCAGCTTCTTGTGCTGGGGACAGCCCAGGGAGGGGAGCTCAGTGGTGGGCACGGTGTCCCCATCACACTGAGCTCCCAGCCCTCAGGCCATGCTCAGGCTTCTGCAGGTCCCTTTCCACCACCCCCTGTTCCCCTTGACCGTCTCTTGCAGAAGAATATTGGAGAGATGTCCTACTTGTGCACAGAGGGATATCACTCTTGAGTCCCAAGATTTGAGAGAATCACCATCCCTCCCAGCCCAAAACAGTCCTTGTCCACACCTTAATTAGGATCTTCTTCTTGAGCTGGGTGGGTGAGGGCAACTCATCGGCATTGATGTCCACTGGCTTGGTGAGCAGCATGTCCCCAAAGACCTTCTTGAAGTGGGAGGCCATGTTCCTCTGCTGGACAATGCTGCAGTGGTCTTCGATAGAGAGGATGATGGGGAACCTGGAGGAAGCAGGTGGGAATGGTGGCTTCGGACGAAGGTGAAGGAGACGTTGCTTGCCCGGCCCAGAACTGGGGTGTCACTGGGGGGCTGGGGCTTACTCAGAGGTGACGAACGCATGCTCTTTGATGGTGTGCAGCACATCCAGGAACTTGATCTTGGAGGTGAGCGTGTGGCCATGGTAGATGATGGGGAGATCATCTGGGCCATCCCAGCAGTCCACTGAGGGGGGAGACACCTTGGTTAACACATGCTGGTCACCGACTGTGCACTGGGGACCATGTTTTGGAGCGCCCAAAGGGGATGGAAGACCCCCCACCCCAGTGCCGTGGGATGGGTGCAGGGGACGGTCTGTCTGATGTGACCCAAGGTGCTGGGGGGGGCTCAGCATCTCTGCGAAGTGCTGTGGGGACTCACGCTCGATGCAGCGGCAGCCCATGCGCAGGCAGCGGGCGTATGCCTCCAGGGAGGACTCGCTGGAGAACTGGTCCCCTGTCAGGTACCTGCAGAGAGAGAGGGACCATCAGCAGCCAGTGCTGCCCCAGCTGGGGTGATGGGATGCTCACGAAGGTCCCCAGGTAGAGCCCACCCTGTCCTTACGTGTTGTGGGAAGAGGAGATCCAGTACTGGGACAGGGGGTGGTTCATCTCCTCAGGCACCACGTGCTCATACTTGGCATCCATCACCATATTCTCCTTGGAGAAGAGGTACGTGAGGAACTGGGAGGAAAGCAGAGAGGTCAGAGCCTGATGGGGCTGGAGAGACACCCCTGGGTGGGTGCTGTGAGGGGCCACCCACCTCATCCAGCTGGAAGGAGGGGTCCACCGCCTCGCTGGAGCCTTCCTTGAGGTAGGTGCACATGTAGTCCCGCACCATGCCCACATCGCTGGCCCAGGATTCCTGGGGTGTAAACATGGCTGTTGTTATGGGGATAACCAGGCTGGGGAATCCCATGGAGGTCCCCTAGGTTGGGGCTGAGAAGGATGCCGCAGGGGTCTCTAAGAGCACCCACCTTCTGGTCATGCAGCAGGAACTTCTGGAAGTCGTAGAGGGAGACTTGGCACAGCTCGGGGCGGTCCACGTTCCTGGGACACGGAGCGGCCATCAGTGAGGACCAGGAGCAGGAGTTGGGGTAGACCCCATGGGAGTCAAGGCCGCCAGCGTCCACCTACAGCTCAGCCTCCCTATGCCCCCATTCCTGCCCTATTCCTTGCCAGCTGGCAAGGGGCTTGTGGAAAATGCAGGCCACGGGGGTGCAAGGGGAACGTCAAGCTGTTGGGTGCTGCTAGAGCAAACACTGCCAGTGTCACCCTGTGACCTGGGAGAGGTGGGCACACAGCCGGAGTGTGCAACATTGCCCTTGGATACGGGAAGGAGGGCAGGGTGACATGCCCCTACATCCCTGCCACCCATCCCTGCTCCCCCCTCCACTCCCACCTCTGCTCATCCCTGCTCCCATCTCCTCTCCCATTCCCGCTCCCATTCCCACTCCCATTCCTGCTCCTATCCCCTCTCCCATCCCTGCTCCCATGCCTGCTCATCCCTGCTCTCATCCCCACTCCCATCTCTGCTCATCCCTGCTCCCATCCCTGTTCCTGTCTCTGCTCTCAGCCCCTGCTCCCATCCACGCTCTTATCCCCGCTCCCATCCCTGCTCCCATCCCCTCTCCAATCCCTCGTTCCATCCCTGCTCCCATCCCTTTTCCTATCCCTCTCCCACCCCCTTTCCCATCCCCTCTCGCATCCCTACTCCCATCCCTGCTCCCATCCCCGCTCCTATCCCTTCTCCCATCCCAGCTCCTATCCCCTGCTCTGCCCCGCAGCCCGGCTGCGTTGCCCACCCGATGGATCCGACCCTTGGCAGCTTGGCCGGGATGGGAGCCGCGGGGCTCCGGGGTACTCACCGCAATGGGAAGGAGAGCTCCAGCTGCTCGATGACCTGCAAGGCAAAGGAGGGGACCAGGCTTAGCTGGTGGGGGACATGCCACACCGGGCGGGAGATGCTTGGGAGGACAAGCCGTGGCTCTTACCGACTTCTGTGCATCAAACATCAGGTTTTTGTAGAACTGGATGAAGTGGGAGAAAGTCATCTCATTCCTGGCTTCCACCTCCTGTGGGAGATGGTGCTGCATGAGAGTGGGGCCACCTGACCGGGGCCAGCTCCGGTCTGGCTGTGGGGGCTCGAAGACCATCTCCTTGCATAGCTGGGGTGGCCAGTGGGTCCTTACCACGAGCTTGTCCCTCAGGAACCTCATGTTGGGGACGCGGTAGTTCACCTGGGGCAGCATGGCCTTCAGGTCCTTCACCGTGATGCTGCAGGAGGGCAAGACGGTGTCAGGGCACTGGCCAGACCCCACAGAGGATGGATAACCCCTGGATGGGTCTCAGCTCCCGACACTGCCAAGGGTCCCAGCCCAAATCCTGGTGCCAGCGTGGTCTCTGGCATGGGGCTGTAACCCTACCGCACTGTGGACCCCCGCAGTGGCACAGGACCCCTAATTACCTGGGGTCTGGCATGACGATGAGCAGAGGGTCGGGGAGTGGGAGCACATACAAGAACCAGTCAGGGGCTCTGAGCCATCATCCCATCTGGAGATGATGCCCATCCCCATAATCATTTAAGTCCAAATTCATTTGATTTGGGGTTTTGCCTGTCTTGGGGAGATATTTAGGGGCTGCATTAATGGCCCAGCCCCTCCTGGCGCTGGTGGAAATGCAGCAGCAGGCATGGGGGCATCGGGTTCCCCACGGTCCTCACAGCACCTGCACTCGAGTCTGATTTTTGATGCCTTAGAGCACCCCAGATAACCTGGTACTACCTTGCCCCCAAAACCTCACCCCCAGCCTGGTTCAGCCTCCAGATTTGGGGTGCAAATGGGGGTATACAGCCCTGTCCAGCTGAACCCACCGGCTGCTTCCTGGCATGGGGCTGTGCTGGTGCTCACCTGCCTTCCCGCGACCGGTCCATCCCATCAAACTGTTTCCGCAGCCACCTGGGAAGAAGGGATGGACAGACGGTGAGGGTTTAGTCCCCCCAGATGGGGACCAGAAATGTGACCTGCTGGTCCTTCCTCACCTCTCAATCTGCAGCGGGGTCTGGGCTTTTTGGGTGTCTGCCACCAGCCAGTTGAGGCCCGTTATCCACAGGTTGATGTCCTCCTCGCAGAAAGCTGGAGGAGGGAGAGGAGGGTGGTGAGGTTGGGATAGGGGAGATGGGATGCTGGGGAGGGGGTGAGAGCCCAAGGGTGGCCAGGATGGAGTGGAGAGGGAGCCCACGCACCAGCCACACTGAGTGTCCGCAGCCTGAAGTCCATCCCGTAGAGGATGATGAAGCACATGGTGAAGTCGAGCTTGCGAGCGTCCTCAGGGTAGCGCTCGAAGTCCCGTGAGTTCTTCCCCAGGCGGATCTCCTTGATCTCCCGAATATCGACTGCGGGAAGAGAGGAACATGGGACTTTCCTCTGACACCCTGCCACGATGGAGCCATGTGTGGGGCTTGGGGAAGATGCAGGAGGTGGGACCGCCAGGAGACCATGTGGCTCTGGGGAGCCTTGTCTCCAGGATGGGGCATCCCCACGACACTGCCCACGGGTGTGTGATGGTATTGTGGGTGCTGTGGCCATGTGTCCTCCAGGGAACCATGTCCCCAGGACAGGGTGTCCCTGCAGCACTGCCTCCAGGTGTGTGATGGCACCCCACTCCTGTGTGTCCTCCAGGAACTCGCATCCCCAGAATGTGGCATCCTGACGGTGCTGCCCACTGGCTTCCTTGCTTTTTGGGTGCCACGTGTCCTCTAGGCTTAGCCTGCCCCATCCCAACCAGCGCATCTCCAGCCACCTCTCCCCTGCCTTCTCCTCCCCAAGACAGACCCTGCTCGGGGTTAGGCTGAGCTCATCTTTTAATTGAAGACATCTGCCCAAAGGTGGCAATTTGGAGCCCCGGCAGTCCGGACCACAGGGCGTTTCTTTCCTGCTGTGCTGCTCTCTCATTATCTCGCTATATAAAGCCCAGCTGGCGGCGGGAGGGCTGGGTTTCCGGACCGCGGTCTTCCTCACGGCTATGCTGCCGGGAGAGATTTCCAACCCCTGGTTTTGCTGAGTGGACTCATCCCACCAGGAGCAGAATAATAATATGATGATATTAGTAATAACACCCAAAATTGTTCTCGATACCACAAGTATCACCCCCAAGTATCACCCGCCCCAGGCAGCTTTGCACTCTGGGGCTGAGCCGCTGGCATGGGAAAGGGCTTTGTAGGGCCGAGGGCAGCTGGACCTCCACGTCGGGATATTGTCCTGCCGAGGAAATCGGTCATTTCCCGGAGAATTTCCAGCCTGGCTGCGTTTCCGATGCGGCAGTGGGGAAGGGTGCAGGCGTGCCGGTGCCTTGATGGAAATCATCAGCCTAATCCAAAGCGGGGAAAAAAAAGCCGAATGCGGGGAGGAATAAGGGATGGGGGAGAAATCGGGCTGATTAAGCAAGAAAAGAGGTGCAGAATAGTTTTTCTTGGCGGAAAAGCTTCAGAAAACACTGGAGGCTTTATCCAGCCTTCTCTCGCTGGAGGACCGCAAGCCAAATTTCACGGATCGGGGTGGGATTTTAGCACAAGTGACACACAGGAGGTCTGCACCCCTGCATGTGCTTTGTTTTGGGACTAGATCTCAAGAAATGAAACCCCGTTGCTGTCTCTGTGCAGTCCCCACGTCTCAGAGCAAACCCTCTTTGGTAAAAACAGGCAGATATTTGGGGGTAAAAATGGGTTTATAGGTTAAAAAACAGCTGCTCATCCCCAAAGCTGCCCATCCACAGGGCACCAGAGAGGGGCAAGAAGCCAGTGGCTAACTAGGCTCCACCAAGAAGCTGCAATGCAGCCATCCCCCCAGTTCAACACCTCTGGGATCCAGCCTCGGACCCGATCTCTGGGCACTGCCAATAATCATAGAATCATAGAATAGTTTGGGTTGGAAGGGACCTTTAAAGGTCATCCAGTTCAATCCCCCTGCAATGATCAGGGACATCTTCAACTAGATCAGGTTGCTCAAAGCCTCATCCAACCTGACCTGGAATGTTTCCAGGGATGGGGCATCGACCACCTCTCTGGGCAAACCTGGTCCAGTGTTTCACCACCCTCACCGCAACAAATTTCTTTCTTATACTAAGTCTGAATCTCCCCTCTTTGAGTTTAAAACCATTACCCCTTGTCCTATTGCTACGGTCCATATTAAAAAGTCTGTCCCCATCTTTCTTACAAAACTCCCTTTAAGTATTGAAAGGCCGCAAGAAGGTCTGCCCGGAGCCTTCTCTTCTCCAGGCTGAACAACCCCAAATCTGTCTTTCTCCATAGCAGAGGTGTCCCAGCCCTCGGACCATTTCCATGTCCCTCCTCTGGACCCGCTCCAACAGGTCCGTGTCTGTCTTGTACTGGGGACCCCAGAGCTGGATGTGGTCCTCCAGGGGGGTCTCACCAGAGCAGAGTAGAGGGGGAGAATCCCCTCCCTGGACCTGCTGGCCACACTGCAGTGGATGCAGCCCAGGTTATGGTTGGTTTTCTGGGCTGTGAGCGCACATTGCCGGCTCATGTCCAGTTTTTCATCCACCGGTACTCCCAAGTCCTCCGCAGGGCAAACAGCCCGGCCCCATGAAGAGCCAAGGGAAGAGGGAGCGGCGCGGGGCTGCACAATGCAACGAAGCCGGCGGCTTCCTGGAAACCACATCTGCAGCGGATTTGCAGCGATCATGTCAGAACTATGTCTCCAAACTCCTCCCCGCATTGTCTCAGGGGTCCCGGGCGATTAAAACACTCTGGAAGTCGGTTCCAGCTGCGAAAATCCCTTTTCTCTTCTAATGCAAAGCAAGCAGCGTGGTGCAAAGAAGATTTTTAAATGGTGGGAAGATGGTGTAGGACCAGGTTCTGCCTGGTGGCTTTTAGGGATGCTGAGAGCCTGGGAGTTTTCTTAATGCGTTAGGAGAAAAGCAAAGCAAAGCAGCTGGAGGGAATGGTTGTGCTGGGAAATCCCACTGGCCTGGGCAGCGCTGCAGTGGCACGAGCCATGTCACCTCCTTTTTGCCTCAGTCATCCCTTCTTGCAGGACATGTGGCAGCTCAGATCCTCCTATACAGGGGGGGATTGGGTGACCGCATCCCTCAGGACTCCCTGTGGTGTTGTGAAGCTGATTTAAAACCTGAAATAAAAGATTTCCTCCTGGTCTGGCAGTGTTAAACCCCATTTGGATTTTCTCCTCCTCAAACGGTCCTATTTCTAATTATTTGGGGTTAGCGAGGGCTGGAGGTGTGATCCCAATTAGCTGTCGTTGTGGCAAAGCACTCCTCTGAAATGCTTTTGGGTTTGCCAAACTCCCTGCACCCCTATTTCTTTTAATTTCTTGCAAAGATCCCTTTTGGGCTGTTTTCTGCTAGATTTCATCCTTGCACTTGGGACCGGGGTCTGCCGAGGGCAATGAGCTGGAAAACCCTCCAGGATGAGGTTAATTTTGGAAGTGATGCTACAGGCGACCCCATCAGCTTGGACACGTGTCCATCGGCTGCTTAACGAAGTGTGTAATTAGCCTGCATGGTGTGGGGTGTCTAGGGGAGAGCCAGGATCTGCGTCCTGGCCCTGCCAGCCCGTAACAGAGACATCAGCGCTGTTGGTCGTCCCTCCTAATCCCTCTGCAAGCGGGTTGCCTGGTTGAAGGGGGGGATTTAAAATGGCCCGGGCAGGCGTGAGGTCGGGCGCAGGGTGGGACCGAGACCCCAGGGATGAATAGGAGATCCTGGTGCTTCCATAACATCACGGTGAGCGGGAGGATGTGTGAGCACGGAGCAGGGCTGGACCAGGGGGGTGAAGATGCTCCAGCTCAGCACCAAGACAGGGATTGCTCCCACTCTGGACTGAGGAAAGCAAGCGGTGGGATTGGGTGGCAGGATTGTACCATTTCCAGAGGGTTTTTCCTTCCCCCCCCCCCTTCTGGATGGCCTCGGAGGATGCCCACTCATTCCCATTGGGGGGTTTTGGGCAGTCACATGGCAGAAGCCAGATTCCAAGGCACTGGTGGGGAAACTGAGGCAGGGCATCGGGAGCCTGACACGGTGGCACATGGTGCTCCCAAAGAAAACTAAGGAGCCAGAAATGCATTATTTCAGTGAGTGGAGAATGAGCTCTTCCCTGTGAGGACCAAAACCACTTCTCCAAAAATGGGTGCCTTTCCTCCCCTCGCTTATCCCTCCTCCTCCTCCTCCTCCCACAAATCTGTTCCCCCCCAAGGGCTGGTGGTGAGTTCATCTCCCTCGCCCAGCAGGTCCGGACAGGCATGGATCCTGCTCGTGCCGATGTTTATCTCCAGGTGCCACCCTTCTTCCCGGCTCAAACCTCTCTATGGCTGGCAGCCTGGCTCAGAGTCGGCCCCTCCAAGCAAAACATGAATCCTCCTGGGGATTTTGCTCCACCTCATGCAAAATTAGCGATGGGTGGTGATTTTGAGATGGGTAATTGGGTAATTTTAAGGATACCCCCTGAGCCCTCCTAGGGAAAAGGCAGCTGTCACCTCCCAAACCTCCCAGGGTAGGCTTTGCCATCATCTGGGTGAGAAGACCCCCCAAAACTGGGTTCCTCCCCACAGGGGGATGTGGGATGAAGTGATGGTATAATTCCATGCCACCCCAACCCCGTGTTTTCATCCACTGGCTCTTTTTAGCTCAGTTAAAGAGGAGGTACAAGCCTTGAGGTAACGAACAACCAGGTAATGAGCACCAAGGCATGGAGCCCCACTGATGCCTGGTGGTGGGACTATGCCCCAACAGCCTACTAGCCACCAGTGAATCCACCAGTAAGGGTGATTTTTATGGATGCTCCAGCGGGAGCATCTCCTGTGCCGGACGCCAATGCCACCAGTCCAAACTTTGCATTGACGTCATTAATGCATGTGGGTCAGAGCCCACCTGGCCAAGTACTTTCTGGGCTGCATGGGGCCACCACCATGTTTCACTCCATGCTGCTGCCTGCCCTGGAAGCCTGAGCACTGCATTTTTAGGGTTAAAAGCACCGTGAGTAGGCAAGGTGGTGGCTGGCTCCTTTACCTCTTTGCCAGGGAGGGTATAAAACCCCAGGGATGGCATGGCAGCAGTTTGAGCCCCACGGCAACTTATGGACCACGTGAGCTGGGTTGGAGGGGAGGTGAGGGTTGCTCATCCCAGCAGCTCCTGCATTTGTGTCTCTGGGCATCCCACCACGGTCAGGCACCCCACCACAGTAGGGCATCCCACCATGGCTGGGCATCCCACCATGGCTGGGCATCCCACTGTGGCAGGGCACCCCATTGCATCCAGGCACCCCACCATGGTCAGAAACCCCACTGAGGTAGGGCACCCAAACATGGCCAGAACCCCACTATGACCAGGCTACCCACCATGGCCAGACATCCCACTGCGGCCCGGCACCCCACCACAGCCAGGCACCCTACCACAACCAGACACCTCATCACGGCCAGGCATCCCACCAAGGCCAGGCGTCCAACTGTGGCAGGCACCCCACCATGGCTGGGCACTCCATCGTGGCCAGGCACCCCACTATGTCTAGGCACCCCACTACAGCAGGCACCCCACTATGTCTAGGCACCCCACTACAGCAGGCACCCTACCACAGCCAGCCACCCCACTGTGGCTGGACATACCACTGCAGTCAGGCATCTCACCATAGTAGAGCACCCCACCATGGCCAGGCACCCCACTGCCAGGCACCCCATGATGGCTGGGCACCCCATAACCAGTCACCCCACTGCAGCTGGACATCCCACTATGGCCAGGCACCCCACAACCAGTCACCCCACCACGATAGGACATCCCACCACAGCCAGGCACCCCACAGGCAGGCACCCCAACACAGTAGGACATCCCACCACAGCCAGGCACCCCACGGCCAGGCACCCCACCATGGCCAGACACCCCACCAGCACATCCCCAGCCCACAGCGCCACTGCCACCGATACTCACTGTCCCCTTCCACCTTCTCGGGCGTCCGGCTCCAGATGATCTGCCGGGTCTCCAACTTCACCTGGAAGGTCCTTCGCTCCGGCCTCTGTGACTTCTTCTGATAGAACAAGGTGAGGACGGTGCCCATCTCCAGGCAGCGGAGGATCCTGCCCATGTCCCCCGCCTCCATCCTGCCGTCCTCCAGAAAGCCATTGACGCTGTTGAGCCTGGCCACGGACATCTTCACTGCTCGGCCATCGTCCGGCGGAGCCGCAGAGCCGGGGTTGTCTCATGCAGGAGAGGACGAACCAAATAGCTGAAACCTCCCCGGGGATTTTCTCTGTTCGCCCCAGGCGTGGGTTTCCTCTACGGCCGACGTCCCCTCCGCCACACCACGGCCACGGTACAGAGCCGGGCTTGGCGGCAGCGGGGAGGAAGAGGGTGGGCTGGAGGTTCCGTGACCTTCTCGCCGAGGCTGAATCCGGCCCTGGCGTTGGCATCCAACGGCGGTGGGAGAAGATAGGCAACGCCGGCGGCGATGGCCTTGCGGTTCAGAACCAGAGGGGACGAAAACCATCCGGTCACCGCAGGATGGCGGGGGGGGGGTACCTTTGAGGGCGAAGAGGGTGGCGTGGGAGGGGGGAAAACCCAGCCAAAAAAAAAAGCAAAGTCACCCCCAAAACTGATGGTGCCTGCGTTGAGGCAACGGATTCCGTGTCCCCCCCACCCCAGCCTCTGGGCCAAGGTTGGGAGAGGGGTGAGGCAAAGGGGTGCCGAGGGGTGCTCGGCCAGCCTGGGGAGTAGCGAGGTCCCGGGTGGGGTGGGATGGGGGATGCGGGGTTGGGGG